GTTAGTACTCGCTGTGAATGGAGTCAATAAATTAAATATTTTGTTTCATAATAGAGTTCTCTAATATTTTACATAGCCATATATGTATAAATAACATGTTCTGGAATCTGTCTTTACGTCTAAGAATCAGTTCAGTAATTAATGTATTCTGAGTTGCCTTTCTCCGCTTCATTATCATAATTACCAGTCAGCAACTCTGTATAGAAGTAGAAGCTTATCTGTAAATGTGGCACCCACTGGCATATGTGACTGCATTTGCCTGTTTCCTGCCCTCCAGCTAATCTCAAGTCCATCATCAATGCATACCACAACCGCATCGGAAATCTAGAGGCCGAGAAATACGACCTCGAGTACGAAGTGGCCAGAAAGAACTTGGAGGTGCGACCCTGTAAGGCCCTCGGCCCACAACATGCCCGCAGAGGTCAAGGCGTTCCTAAAATAATTACTATCACGTGCACAAAGATTTTGGGAAAGTGATGTTCGCAAAATTTAATGCATACCTCTCTCATGCATTCACATCACTCCTTATCATGACCGTGGAAAGTGGATATATATTAAAATTTCGGAAGTCATCACAGGAAATTGTGTGGACTCTTATGTCCAAGATAATTTCACGCTGCATAAGTTTAAAGAAATCAATACAGTGTCTTGTAATTAATCAATATATGTATATTTATATACATATATATTGGAAAAATATCAAGTGACATCAGAAGGCCTGAGGTCGTTGTTTAAATGTTAAAAACCACGTTTCTGTAATTAGTATTTACTCAAGTCAGAAAATTTTAGATCACACACTTGCATCTGAGCAAGAACACAACCGAAATGAATTACAACACTTGATCTCTGAGGCAGGTTTGTGGATTGAGGGGCTACGCATGAGTATAGAAACCAAATCATACCAAATCATACATTATAACGCAATAGATTGGTTGATTTGGCAAGACTATACGGGACAGATTTATATGGATTAAAATTAAGAAAAGATTCGTCTTGTTTCACTTTTCGTTAATTTAATCCATCGTTTTAAAAACAACTAAAATGCACATGAGCATTGCAATATTAAAAAGATCGCTTATTAAGCACAGTCTCGGCCTAAAAACGTAAACATAACCCGAGCTCTGAGCACGCGTTTAACATGACTGAGTACACTGACGACCGGATAGGGTTCCCTTCTTTCTGGGTGCTGCTTGACGCTGTTCCTAACATGATAAATGCTTTCATTTTTAGAGTGTTTTGCGCCTCATAGTCTATTTTGTGTTTCAGGGACCACCTTCATATCCTGATGTCTGACCTTTCTTCCCGTACAGCTCAGTGGATTCCTCTTGGAACGGCTTTCTGCTTAATGTAGCTCACCCCTGTATTTAAGCTTAAGCTGTGCATAGTATGTCTATCCAAACCACCATTTTTTTTTTCATTCCTCTACCTCAGCTTTCTCAAGGTCTTAACAATATTAGATGTGTAAACTTTAGCTTCTTAATACTATTTCTTATACTCTGTCCAGTTCATTTAGACAGTTTTAACAATGATAAATTTATGATCTTTTGTGATATGTTCCATTAAACAGACCGCTCTGATATGTCGAATTTTACGGAAATGACGTTAAGTTACCCAATAAGTCAATATAATACGATACAAGAAAATAAATATTTCTTGAACTTGACTGGTTTAGTAATAGGCTTTCAATATGAAGTCATAAGAGCGAATCGGTTTCTAGTATTTTTTTTAATGAATGAATGCTAGGCCAATACGGAAGAAAATGCAATAAAGAATGGTATATGTGAATCTGAAGTATGACAATTGTGATTGAACTGAAGAAGAACGTGTTACTGTGGAAATAAGTAATTCGAAACCTCGACGAATTAGGCGTGCTGCTGAAATCAACATGATGACCAGGTGATGCAAATTTTGCATATGGATGGAGTGACTTTCAAATCTCAAGGAAGTGAAATAAAGGATTCCAATTCTAACCTCTCTCATCGAACGCGCTGTGTAAATACTGACATTGAGGCACTGCTGTGTGTAATAATAAACATGGGATTGCATGCAAGCCTAAGTATGTATAGCAAATTCTGGGGTGAATTTTCATTCTTTGCATTTGCTGCAAATGAAGTTGTTTGCCTATATTCACATTTCCCTGACTGTAGCAGGAAATGAATGAATACACTGCAACAAGAGGACACAAAGTAAAGCCCTTATTTCGGTATATTCGGGAAAATGTAGGATGATGTACATTTCGACCACAGTGTTTTTATAGATGAAGGAATAGATTTTAAAGGAAAAATTAAAAGTTTCTCAAGCCAACAAGTCCTTGAAGTTTGGCTTGAAAATGTGTGTTACCATTTTGTCTTGAGTGAAACAGGCTATATGTATGTCTTCTTGCTATATTTTGAGAGAAGTACAAGGAAATAATCTCAGAGCATGCAGCAAGTTGTCTGGTGGTAGGCATACATGTTACTCATGACATCTTTTACCAAAGGAAAGAAACCTTATAATTTTTTAGATGCATGGAATGGTATGCCATTTCTTCACCCTGCTGGTTATATTCAACATTAACATACAAAGAAGTATATGTAAAATTGTGTAACAATGTAGTTTATGTTACATATATTAGCAAAGAAAGCTAACAATGTTGGAAAAGTCACCATTTGCTGACCAAAGAGACAGCAAGACTGATTGCACCAGAACAATGATGAAGAGAGTAAGTGTCATGGAACCCACAAAAACAGACCATGCAGAGTTCATGGTGATGAAAGAAAAAGATAATGTTTGTTGTCAACTGCTGAAATGGTAAATTGTGTGATGCAGCAAAACAAACACAAGATATAGCTTGACATCATGAGAGTTGAACAGTGACAATATCTGATGACAGAAATTGTTTAAAAGCATACTTTCATGCAGACCCAATCTTGCAGAAGAAAGGGTCATTACATTTGACCCAAAAATGTGCTAATACTTGGGTAAACCTGTCTCATATGGGAATGGTTGTACTTAGAAAATAACCTAATTTCTTGAAGCATAAGTACTGATGTAGCAAACATATACTGACTCCATATTAGCAAATAAAACTAAAGGAATAAATATGCCAACTTTAGTATGATTTAAACTCAGAATGACATTAGTTCATTTTAAGTAGTGTACTGTACTAAATAAGCTCTTTGTGAGATTGAAGTCAGATTGTTTTAAAGAGCAGTCTTTCTTTCTATTTTCCCAGTACTTACTTAATTACCAATGGACATATTTGTAATGTTTTAATAAATTTGCAGAGTTTTAAAGAATTTTTTGTTGCATCATGCACCGAAGTTCTGCAAGAAAATGTCAGAATGCTATATTGAAAAATTTTTACTGGGTCTGAGACAGAAGTGACCTTGCCATTTAAACAAATAGTGTCTGCATTAATAAGTGATGTGATCATTTTACATTCCAGTGGGCATTAGTTTCTGCATGGCGGGTTTTATTTAATCCTTCATAGGAAGTGGGATTACTCACTTTGCATAGCAACTTATGTTGGAGACAAAATTCCATTTGTTCATGCCCTTATTTAAGGACTTAGCAGTCCACAAAAATAATACTCTGCAGTGACTTCATGCTGTATAGTACATTTTGTATGATTGCTTTTATTGTGTTTAACTGTTGTAATGCTTTTTGAAATGTATATATCTATTGATGTCCATATTTCTTTGTTTCTTCATTAGCAGTTTGTTAACATGAGCAGAGTGGCCGAACTTCTTTCTGTAACTAACTGACAGTATTTCCAGGTCTTCTTCAGTTCTTTGCTGAGGAAGGGGGTGTTTTCGCTTGTAGCAGCGAGGTTTCCACTGGCACTGTCCCATGCCCTGGTGTACTGCTGTGTACACAATCATAAAATTGACATTATCTCAGAACTTTTATGTATAAGTCATGGAAATTTATATCTCTTGGTACTTTTCATTGTTCCTTATAATGCAGTGCATTTCCAAAGGAATGTTGATGATTGAGCCAAAAATTATAAGAAAGCATTGTTTGAGGCATGAGAGATTGTGCCAGGGGCTGGAATCTCATTTCTCATTTTGACTAACAAGAGATTCTAATTCTTGTGCTTCTTGCATCTTCGTCTCTTTCTCTCTGTTTTAGCTGAACTTCAAACAGTTTGCAAGCAATATTGGAACAAAATTTACATATTAGAGGGTGATAAATGGGAACTAGAGAGAGCAAGTAGAATGAAAGAATTTGAGGTAAAAAGAAAAGGGCTATTTTGTGCAAGTGTTTCATTCCACCCAATGTTCTTCATTGCTCTAACATTGTAAATTATGATGTACAGTTGCTCCATCTCCTTGGTTTTCCCCACAGACCGTAACTACAACGCATGGTAATCATATTGATATTCTTCAGGTGTTTACCATTTACCCATAAATCCTGTTCAGCTTACTGTAAGGAAAGGACATGAATTGTCACTGAGAACCTGACACCCCACTTTTACACTCTTTTTCCAATGCTAGGTCTCTGTTAATAGGCGTCCATCCTTCCCTTAAGGACAGTGTACCAAATAATTGTAATTCATCTGTGAACGGAAATATACATGAACAGTGCTGCCATAATTACCCATTCTATTAGACTTGTAGAATTCCATTAGGCCTGCAGGCGACAGGCTCCTATAGAAAAATATTAAAAGCAGCAGTAATGTTTTGAGATTTTTTGGGGATATAAATAAAAAGTAAAGGATGTTCATAAATATTTTAAGAAAATTAAGAAGCTTACCAGTGACAAGCATACTTCAGACACGTCACAGAACTGAATGTACAAGACCACAACTCTTGCATAGAAGCTGCCCAATGTTATTGGGATTTGAAGTGTGAGAGATGACTGATGAATTACAGTTGGCTGGCCTGAAATTCTTGGGCGATTGCGCCGTGTCAAGTAAAAAGGCATGCAGCTTTGCTTAACACAGAGTAATTCCCAAGAAGCAGAGTGAATCAGAGTGTGCATTAAGTAGTTTCACTTGCTTATATTTATTCTTTTAGATGAACTCAAGAAAATCGTCAAGGAGTATTATGATCGTGTGTATCTGTGTGAGGGTCAAAAATGGGATTTGGAACATGAAGTGAGAAAGAGGGACTGGGAGGTATGGCGATATGGAGGAGTGTGGGCCAATTCCAATGCGCCTCCCCCACCTCCAATTCGTGTGAAGTGGAAGGAATATTGGCATTTGGCTACACTTCTTTATTTTTGAAGCCAAGTTTTTCCCCGTATAACTAGCTAGTTTCTCCGTGGAGAAGTCTGTAAACGCCTGGCCAGCCCTGGCTGAACGTTTGCATACTTCTGCAAAATTAAGTTCCCTTTTTCAAGATAGTTGTTAATAAGAGGAGCAAATATCTAAAGAAAAGATAAACTCAGAAACTAAACAGAACTAAAATATCCCATCCAGATTATGAACACTCAGTTGACTGGTAACAGCACCTCTGGTTCATATTCTGGGCTTTCAGATATGAAGTGCTTCACTTTATTCAATTATACATCGGACATAAAGGGTTGGCCACACCCCCACTTCCTCATCACCTCATCCTGAGTGCAAGTAAAACATTGGATATTAATCTATAAGGTGGCTTCAGGCAGACCACTCTGCATAGCAATTAAAAATGGTGCTCATTTATTCAAAATGTTAATTTTATTCCCATCCGTAAAATGGATCTTCTTGCAAATTAAATTGAATATATTAAATTGTAAATGTATCTAAATAATGTTTTGACTGCTCCTACAGATAGAAATATGTACGTTCACAGGGCTGGTTAGGCAGTCACCTTGTAAAATGCATCCTTGTACATACATACATCATAATGCAAGGAAACAAACACAAAAGAATATTGGAAATTTAGAAGTAGCAGCTGACAGTTTTTACCCTGGCAGAATTTGTACTTTCACATTCGCATGCTCTGGAATGCATGCTTGTGTCCGTTACATATGCACCTTGTTAACAAGGTGTTGAAAATTACATTAGGATTCCACTCTTCCTTTATATGTTACCGCCCTCTCCTTAGCCGTGGGGTCAGCCCTTTTGTTATGAATGACATTAAGGACTGGTGCACCATGAAAAAACTATGCTTGGTCTGCAAAGAGAGATGTTCAAACAATGTAATTTGCTTGATGCTACATTTTCTGTGGATAATTTAAGACCATATGTAGAAATAAACAGATGTAATTGATTAGACTGCAGTTTCCTCATTTGCCCGTTATTACTGAAAATATTGACATTTGTTTTCTGGCCTAACAGCTTTATTTTCAAAGTGAGACTGACCTCTGCTTGCTGCATGTTCCTCTTGTGTGTTACATGACTTTAATGTCTTTCATAAGTATGTATGGTCAATACTCTCCACCTTTTGGTTTGCATTCTTGTTACTGTTAGTTTATTTTGCATTGATCATAAACTACCAGGGCTGCATATAACATTTTATAGCCTTACACATTTGGTGGAATTTGTTGAGATGCTTCTAACTCAGGGTATCCACAGAAGTACTGTTTCACATAATTATCACATAGAGGTTTGGAAACCCCAGACCTTCAATTGCTGCTGGGTTTCACTCATCTCGCGTATCCCTTCTTAACACCAAACAGTGTAGCCTGTAGAGTTCTGGTAGAGTTGAAAGTTACTGAAACTTGTATGGGTAATGAATGATCTTGGGAATGCAAAGAACAGGCATGGCTGCTTGTTCCTGCCAGCTGTATATGTTTTTGAGCAACTGACTCACTAACCCATTGTTCTTTTTCATCTAACTTTGTTGCATTAACCTGATAGTTGATGTATTTGGACAGTCTCTTTCTTAAAGGTCAAGGATTCAGAATCCATTTTTTGTAACTGAAAATGTGATTCATTTATGATATTCCCACCCCTAAAAGACCTTTACTGACATGCAACAAAGTATGGCACTTCATATTTTTGGAAACGTAAGTTCTCTAGCTCTTCACCTCCTGTGGAATATATATATGTAGCGTCTGAGATTTTCGGGGGAAACATCAAACATAAGTCGATTTGAGTTTTTTTTTTTTTTTTTTGCCTGTTTCCAAAATATTTCTGCAAGAGATTCTGGAGTACTTTCAGTGGGACAGCTTCTTTTCTCACCCACCACTCAACACTTCATATTCCAAGTCCCTTTTTATAACAGTTTCATCACCATCAGGTTTCTCTGAAAGCAAGTGCCATGCTGATTGGACTTTGCACCGCGTCCTGAACCCTGTGTCTAGTCTGCACTATGAGATCTGCCTACACTCGCAGTTCAGTGTTTAGTCACTGTCAAATGCAGGCTGTATCACACAGTGCAAACAAACAAACTGTTTATGCATAATGGGATCAGTGTCAGTGGTTGTTTTGTGTCCCCTGTTTCCTACTCCTCACAGGTGTTATTCTCACAAGGATATTGTTTCAGAGGTTCAGATAATGTTTCTGATTAAAACATTACGAGTGTTAATGCCGCGATATTCTTTGTAGAACTTTTGCACTAAGAAATGCTTAACCTTTGCTAGAGATAAAATTGAGCTCAAACTTGTGGGCATATTTTATTTTATTTATATAATATTTCCAGCTCTCTTGTGTTGGTGAGATGATGAAAGTCTGTCATTGAAGTGAGGCTTTCCTTGAACCAATATCACAAATACTTATAAGCTTTTTCTATCAGAGCAGATGTATTGTAATGCAACAAAACTAAATAATAGTTCTTAATAGACAGCCTCAGGATGCTTTTGTTTATCAGTAGATGGAAAGAAAGGGACACCAAACAGATAGTGTTGGTGAACAGTTTTCAGAACTGCTTTCGCTGGGAGTAGCACAAACAGTAACTAACAACAAAACTTTTTCTTTCTTTTTTTTGTCTTCAGATTTTTCATATAAAATTTGGCTCAAACCTGTGCTGTGTCAAAAGCAACATGATATATCACGATGTGAAAGATTTGTTATTCAAAGTTGCTGCACTAATTTCAGTTTTGTACTTTTGTTTCAATGATTTATCTACACAAAACTTTTAAATCTTAGATGCTTTCATGCATTTTATATAAATAACTGTTGTTGTTTATATTCTATTGGTTAAACATTCAAAATTCCACTTCTAAGCCAGTGAGAAATTATAGTTTAGGCCTGCCCTTAACCTACTTCTTCCCTCCTCTGACTCTTCCTCTGCATGTAAATGACTTCATTGTGTTGGACACACTCACCCAGCATTTAATTCCATATTTGCAGCTAAAGGAAAATGCTGTTCAGGTTGCTTTGATGTCCCCTTGTACTTGTACCTGTTGTCAAATAATAATTCGCTTAGCTGTACTCATCCTCCCAGAAAATGCTAACAGTTTGGGCTGTATTAAAATCATACAATTGATTAAACTACCGCATAGATAGCCTCAAGTTCTGTTCATTTCCAGATTTCTTCAGTGTGGCCTAGCACTAGTTGCCAAAGATGAATTTTACCTAGCTCCAAATACTCTCACAAGTTTGCTCCTTTCATATATTCTTGACAAGTACCTGTGATTGCTGGGTCTGATATTTTGTTCTTTGCCTAAAACATTGTGGTAAGAAATTGCTTAGGCCAGGAAGATTTCTCAGCATTAACTTTAATGACCCTAAAAGCGCTACTCTGCACTGTCTGGTTTTCCATATGCATGGTGTACAAAACTGTATTATATGTGTGTTTTTAGTTTGTCACTGTTGAGCTACATATCCTATTCCTGGCACTATTCTCTGAAACACACCATACCACAGTACGCTCTTTGTAGTAGCATGTATTTTATGGCTTTTCAGTTAGAAAATTTTGATTGTAATGTCATATGAGTGCTTGAATATGCGTTGATCATGATTTAACAGCAAAAGTAATGGAAGTAACATGTGTGAATTTGAGCCTGCATTTCATGTGTTGTAATTTATGTTATGACTATATTTGTGTATTTAAGTGTTTGAAATTTGAGTGAGGAACAACATTTTAATATGAAATCAGGTAACTTTTTAGTTTGCATAAATATTTCAGCATGCTTTGAGGTGCATGTCCATGTACCAAATCTCATGAACTAAATTAGTTACAGTGATCGTCTGGTATGTACACCACTTTTATGAGTAATTTCTGATATCACAGCCACATATTCTGTCAGCGGTACTCTGGGTACAGACCATCTAAATCGCGGTAATTGTAGTCCACGTTTTCCCAATATTTTGCATAGGACTGTTTGTCCAAGGAGTCCTGCAGAGTGCCTTAGTGAAGACTAAAAACTTTACAGTAGAGGCAAACAAATGTTGATCATCAAACAAGAACATATTACTGAAAACAGTTGATTGTCCTTATCTTATCCTTCATTACTAGTGGAATTATTGCATATCTGTTTCTGCCAACACTTGAACTAGAACAGAAAGAGGACATAATGCATGAAACGTTTTGGTTTGTATCCAGACACTGAAATATTTGAGGACTGTGGCCAAAATCTGCTATTTTTGCCACTCCTCCCTGGCCTGGTCCTGATAATGGTACTTTTTTGAAGTTAAATTCATTTTGTAAGATTTGAGGTTTTCATAGCGGTGACTATGAAGAAAGCAGTCTTCTGGGATGTGGTGTTAACCGACGTTTCAGAGTAACATCGCCGCCATCTTCAGGGTAGAAGTAAAAATAAGAAAATCACAAGCAACGAGACAGAACAGGTGCAAGCAGACTAATGTTGGAAATAAACTCAGCTCATATAGCTGATATATTTTTCCTTCTACCCTGAAGATGAAGGCGATACGTTCCTCCGAAACGTCGGTTAACACCACGTCTACACAGTGCCACATCCCAGAAGCTGCTTTCTTTAAATTCATTTGTGTACGTTAGTTCATGAAATTTGGGAAAGAAACTTGTGTATGATAATTGTATATTTCTTTAGTTGTAATGATAAAGGGCATTAAGGAATTTAGAGTGATCGAGCTGTTAGCATAGCACGACAAAATTCTGATTTCTGCTTTGATGTCATTCCAACAGATCTCCGACCTGAGCAGCCTGGTGAACAACCTCCCTGGTAAATTGTGAGTATTCTTTGCTGTGGTCTTCAGTTTAAAATAAATGAAAATTTCACTATGGAAAAAGGTTTATATCAAGTATCCTGAATTTTTTATTTCCTTTGGCATGTCTTAAATATATTTATTTCGTGAATTATAATTGAAACAACTACCCTTAAATTTCCAATATTGATTTAATTTTTGTATCGTATAGCTAAGACATAATACCATTGATGACTCTTTCTTGTTGTAATTATACGCGTTGTTGGGACAGTTGTTTGTGTTTATTACAAGAAATGTTCACATTCAGAGTGTCTGGATTGAGTACTGAGTATTGACATTTGGGATGGGGGACAACCATTACCTGCGGAAGGAAACAGATCCAGTTTCTGAAATATCGGGTTTTCTTTTTTCTAGAATACCAGATGATGGAAAGTGCCCCAAAAGCCAGTAATTCTGTGTGGAGCCAGATGTTTGAAAGACTTCTGGAACCACAGGAGTAGCCTCTTCTTAAAATATTGTGACTGCCTTTTTATTTATGTCCCACAAAAACCTAAGGAAAATTAGTCATCCCCCCCCCCACAGAGCCCGCTTGCTTGATACAATAAGAAATTCCATAGTATCCCATATTGCAAGGGCACTGTTCACACCGCTTGCTCAGTGCTATGCAAATTTCAGCACAGTAACTCACACCTTACCTGAGAGCATTACCTTCCCTCGTTAGGTAGGCCAGACTGCTGCTGGATACTGCCACAAGGAAGGAGGTGGGGTAACTTGGTCCTCAAGTGCCTTGATACTTGGTGCTTTATGTTGTTCAGAAATGTTGTAAAAGCTGCAATCTCGTATTAACCGGAAAGTGGGTAATTATGAATATGATGATTAAAAGAATTAGATATTGGTGTCTTGTTGGCTTCTTTTGTATTGTGTGTACACCATATGTAAGTAATAATGAAAAGGGAATAAAAAGTGTGGCGGGGATAATAGGACAGGATATCAGTTGAGGAAATAAATGGTTAGGTCAGTTTTTGAGGTTGCTAAGTACATTAAGACATGTATTAGGTATAATGGTTTAATATCTGAAAAATTATGGTATGAGGCAACCCCTTAGTCCCAAAGGTATCAGATATCACGACTTTTACAGTATATCCAAATAGCATTCATAGCATATGTAAATTTATGTTATTCCACACGTCTGAAATATTATTATGTACATGCATTGAACACGAAGCATAACATAGTTACATTTGCAAATTATCTGACAATTGACTCCTGAGACTTTGCAGTATCTCATGTTCTGCAGCCAGAAGCCTACCCTGAAGAAGGTGTCAAAGTTTGAGAACAAGTTCGCCAAGTTGCAGAAGAAAGCAGCTGAGTTCAACTTCCGCAATCAGCTCAAGGTTGTCAAGAAGAAGGAGTTCACCCTTGAGGAAGAGGACAAAGAGGTCAGTGTATCCCCACACAGCACACAATACACACAGCCCAGTGCTTGAATTGGGCTGGCAAGATTCTTTGTGATGAAGTTACTTTGAGCCATTTACTGAACTTGGAAATTGTTAGAAAACTCAGCCCTCCGTTTAATGTAATTGTCTTGGAAAGGGACATACAGATTTGAACAACTTGGTCAAGGTGTAAGCTTACAAACACATTGGAGATGGCATTGCTTCCAAGCAATGAAGCTCAAGCTCCACCCAAACAATATGAAGGAATGGAAGAAGTTTCTGCCTGAGGATAAGACAGTTGCTTTCTCTGAATGTGACGCTCCACAGCAGTGTCCCTAAAAATTGTTCATTTCCTGCATTGCCCCGTCTGTTTCCTAATACTTTCACTTTCCTGTGCACTGTTACTATTGACCAAGACAGAGCTATCTCCTCAGCTCCTCCATTGACCAAGACAGATATCTTCTCTGCTCCTCCATTGACCAAGACAGAGCTATCTCCTCAGCTCCTCCATTGACCAAGACAGAGATATCTCCTCAGCTCCTCCATTGACCAAGACAGAGATATCTCCTCAGCTCCTCCATTGACCAAGACAGAGATATCTCCTCTGCTCCTTCCAGGTGATACGTGTCACTTTTCCAGTATAACCTGCTTGCATCTGACCTGCTATAACTCTTGAAGATAGGGGCAACATTTTTATCCACCTACATGACTGCACGGTTTCAGCCTCCAAAACCGCAATCTGTATAATTGTATCTATCCTGGCCTCTCACCATGAATGTGTGTGAGAACCAATTGCTGAGGAGAGTGTTTCAATGAAAGAGAAAGTAAAAGGAGGCAGGTGCTTCATGTTTCATATTGTTTGCCATTATGAACATTATCAAATGAAGGAGATGGGTGGGATATATAGCACACATAAGGAAGAATAAAACACACATCCTATTTTTTAGCCTAAAACCTTGAAGTGAAAGGACCACTTGAGGAGCCGAGTATGGATGGCAGGATATTAATTGATTTTATCTTGCTCAGGAAAGGGTCCTGTGGTACTGCTTTTGAAAATGGTAGCTGTAATGACCTGTGAGGTTCAGTAAAAGGCAAGGAATTGACTGTCTAAATGAATGACATTTGGCTTCTCAAGAAGGTTACCGATTTCTTACTTACAACATTGAAAAATAACAGTTTTATAGTTGAAATAAACCAAATCAATTCAAGCACTTTGACAGCGAGTTTCCATCCTGCAATATATTTCACAGAAGTTAATATTACTTGTATGTGAACTGTATTTTTACTTGTCTCACCCCACAGGCCAAGAAGTCGGAAAAGGCAGATTGGCAGACGAAGAAATAATCACATAGACACATCATTGCCATTACCAGACATTGCAGTCTGTTTTAAAATCTTATTTTTTGGGTTATAACATTTATCTGGATGTAATGTAATATTTCAGATTTAAATTTTGTAATTCAACTGTTTTTATGAACAGTTTGGCATACTCGCATTCTCATTAAATTCAGGAACTGTTTCTACTTCACACAGTTTGTATGATCCCACGTTTTCCCGCTTCCACCACTATAGTTCCAAAAGCAGAACACACTCACATTTTTACTCTTTTTTAAATATTTCTTCTGACTATTTTATTATTATATTGTATTTTTGTTTTATGTCAGTTTTGCTTGTTTCTTTGTGTCTTATTTTGTGATGTCTTTTGTGGTGTGATTTTTTATTCGACTTATGGATGTCATCAGCGTAGCAGAGCTGTGTTTTGTTTTGTCCGTTTCAACAACTGATATTCTTTCACTCAAATGTAGAACATAAAATTGTGACCATACCCTTTTTATAGTTATACCCTGTTTTGTTTTTGACCCTTTCTTTTTTGGAGTTTAAAATACGTAATACTATGCGGTAAGACAGGAGTCTGTTTGCATCTGGCTAGTTATTACGTGCTGCTGTTGCAAGAGTAGCAACCAAGATGGAAGGAGCTTTGGAGAGGTGAGAATTTCAATCCCTCACAGATTGTCTGTTGTCTGTTAGGGTTACTAGAGCATGAACTTCTGGATTAGTCAGTTGTGGCTGCAGATACTAGAAAATTGAAGACTATACAATTAAGAAAAAATGATATCAAGACATGTTAGAAGAAGCCTAGGCTTATTTGTCAGCATTTTGCAGATACACAGAACTCCTTGATTTCTGTGTTGTTTGAGAATTTAGCAGTAACATGGAGTCGTTTAAACCAAAATGGTTTATGGTGATGTTATATAACAATCATTTTGACTGATGTTTTGGTCATTGTCATTCTTCCAGTTATTTGAGGCCACAACATTTCAGTAACTGATTCTGTTCCTTCATCAGGTGATACAAGTGAGTAAATCCTAGTCTTGGGTCCCATGACAGAGCTAGTCTCAAAACCTGTAGGTTTTCTAACTCTGCCAAGGGACCCAGTGGGGTAGGATTCATTGCTCTATCCTACTGTCTGAAGGAGGAAACAGGACAGTTTGTGAATTGTTGCTGTTTGAAATAAGGTGCACTGATGGACAGTATCACATATTCAGTCACAATGATGAAGCAGTTTGTTTTCAATTTTGGTGAGAGCTGTACAAAAGTATTGAGTGGCTACAACAATCTTGTAATTCCAGATGCTCAAGTTAACAAAAATTTGCTACTCATTGACCATTTCAGAAAGTAATATATTTAATTCCATGTATATCTCTAATCAGCTTATTGAGACCTGACAAGTTGCTGGTGAAGGTTTCATCTGCATGAAGTGCCATGAGTCACAAGGATAATTGCAGCAAAGTAGTTTTCTCATTAGGATTAATGGGTTTTGTCCATCTTCTAGTCTTCCAAACAGAATGCAATATTTTGGAGCTGAGTCTGTTCCAATTTTCTGGTAGGGAGGTGCTCTTTCTAATATATCCAGTTGAATGGGTGTTCACTGGACTTTTCACCTGATAATAGAAATGGATCCAGCTTTCAAAATCTAATATCCTGAGTACTAGACGATGGGTAAAAAACAAGATAATCCAAAACATAGTATACCATTCTCAGAACCACACAATCTATTTTTATTCCTATCACAGATTTATTTAATAATTGTGACTAACTGGCCACTTTGTGGTTATATTCACTATTGTGTGTGTGTGTGTAATACTTTTTCATGTTTTCTTCTTTTATCTTTTTGTTTGTCGTTTATGTATTTCACACATTTAACAGCCTTCAATGTGTAATTAAAGTTACTACTTCATGACTTGGAATTTGTTACAGAAGCTGGCAGCTGTAGCATTACTTTTGTGTCTTCATGTGAGATCAGCTTTGATGTACTAAAGTACAGTAAACTCCTACATCTCCCATATAGTTTATATTAATCTTCAACATCCAAAAAGTGATACCATTTCCCATAAATGTAATTTTATCTGCCCTGCCCTGTTACATCACGTCTTTTAAAATTATTTAAATTAAAAAAAAACTGTTATTTATCTTGTATATCAAAAATGTTTATTTAGGCCCCAGAAATTATAGCATTTGTGTATTTGTCCTCTTCTAATGGGATATTTTGCTTGAGTTCCTCACCCCTGGGAGTTGCAGAAGTCTTGAAAGCTTTATAACTCTCCATGCAGCCATTCTTATTTTGTTGTTTTATAAAGCATCAAAATTAGAATCACATACCTAAAGAAGCTTCAAAAAATGCCTTGGCTTATCTCATCAACCATTTCATAAAATCTGCATGCCGTTAGCCTCGAATTTTGCCAATACTGTGTTACTGCAAAATATTATGAGAGTACAGTGACACAGGTATTACATACATCTGTGCGTTCTGTGTATGCCAGTATGATGTTGGATAATCTTCAGAACTCCAGTTTTTAATGGCAGATCTTGAAACAAGGATTGGGACACCTGAATTTTGTCCTCATTCCTTAATTTTTTTCAGAACACACAACATTTAATTCATCTTACCTCCGAGAGCTGATGTTCATTGCATCGTGTGTTAAGTCAGGGCAGTGGGCTGGTGTGATGAGTGGACCCAGTTGGACTCCACCCCCACTAAAGAAAATTACACGTGTTTTTCAAGAAGATGCAAGATGTAACATTCAAAGTCACGAGTCAAGCAATTCCAGTACCTCTGTGTGTTTAGCCTATCATAGATATAATGGGCATTCCTACTTCTACCCCAGACCGCACTGCACCACAGCCTCCTATAGAGTCAACCAGTATTTCTACACACAGCTTAAAAATCAAATGCTTTTATAAAGTTCAAGCTTTCATTCATTTATTACACTGTCATGCATAATATTGTTCTTTCTGCCAATGAGACACAGTGTTTCTGTAGTTTTAATTGATGTAAACAATTTGCTGATATACTGTTTTGTTTTCTTACTTTCAGAAGAAACCAGACTGGTCAAAGAAGGGTGAAGAAAAGAAGGTAGGGGAGAAAGAAGTGGAGGCATAAATTTGATATTTTTATTCATACTCTAAAAGAAAAACTCACAGACAGTTTATTGAGCACATGTATTTATTGGTATGGGCTGAGTAGAACTAAATTACTGCTGGGAGAAGAGTTGCCTACAGATGAAAAAGAGAAAATGAAGAACGCAGCATCAAGGAAGTAAGATCGACAATATTTACTGTGATTTTTATGTTCAGTTTTTGCTTGTTTTTGGTCTAAGAATATTCGATTTTGTTGTGTTGGCATGATGCCATTCTGACCTTGTAATTGGCAGCTGTTTTCTCTGTACTGTATGTCTTTGCCATCATTCTCCACTCCAGTATAAACATTTCAGCTGTCCTTGTGAATATTTTTCCATCCCTGTGTAAAAGGGGAGCAAAGCAACATCATGTGTGTAGCAATGTACAAAATCGTGATTAAAGTTATTCATGTGATATTATCCCAAAGTTTCCTGTCATGCAACGCACTGCAGCAATCCTCGCTTTGAAAGTAACAGAATATGATTTGTAATATCTTCATTAGTATGTGGAAGTAAGAAGGTGCAAATGGCAAAATTCCATGCATATTGAAGTCTTTAGTTGAAGAGTACAGTTATCTGGTTTGTAATATGTGTAATTCACTAGAAATTCACTGATATTTTGGAGGAACGTTAAATGAATTTCTGCTGCACTACACAGCACTGCAACACAGAATATAGTACCCTTCCTGGGCACCTTTGTGAGGACCTCATATCCAATTCTGTCATTACTACTGCAGGATATGACCCTTTCCCATGATTGTTATGGTCTGCAGAGCTCTGTGTTTTTAAAATGTTTACATCTGCTGAAACCAGCCTGTTAATTAACATATGATCACTAAATTCAGATAGGCTTGTGTGGCAGTAAATATGTAATTTAGATTCCAGCACCATATTTGGCCACATATAGCACAAACATTCTTCCCTCAAAATTCATCCTCAGAAACTTCTGCATATTGTAGTAGCCAACATAAACCTCTGTATAATATATTCCTATAAGCTGCCACAGAGAATGCCAGGGTGGAGGAGTGGACATGTGAGTTCACCGTGCTCTTTCCCCTTTTTGCCCTTTGAACCAACTGACCAATTTTTATGAATGTGGGTATAAAATATTATGCCACTGAAGGCCACTCCTGGCTCTTAATTTCCAATTTTTTAAAATGTAGTGGGCAATGCACTAGCACCACTTTATGGTCATGAAATTGTGTGTGGTAACATCTGTAAAAAGAAATGCTACTTTTATTGGGGTACTCCTCTTTGTTAAATATAAAACAATGAAATGGCAGCTTCATGAAAGAATAATTAGTGTTCTTTTTCCTGGCTCTATCTAGTGAAAGACTGGAGATATGCTGGGCTATATTCAGACTGATAGGATAGTTTCTCTTTAAAATGTTATCTTCAATTCTTTCCAGCAATAATAGATTGTGGGCAGACTCTGCCCTGCTACTTGAGGCTTGCTGCAGCATTTGCAAATTGTGTATCCTTTGCACTGATGTGTCTCCCATTGTGGTCTGATTGTACTGTATCACACACCATCACACCACAAGAACGTCCTGGGTACTAGCAGTGGGTAGATTTCTGTGTTTCGGGAAGACCTTGTTGTCAGCATAAAATGAGAAATGGTAGGATGTTACTATTCATGAATCAGAAAGAATATGGAAGGAAGCAGTTGTGGATTATTGTTGAGATATCATGGCATTTCTTTGATGGGACAGAGGAAGAACATAAGGAGCCTGATTGAATGCACCAGTCCGTAGCCGCGTTCCACTGCGTTCTCATTAGTTTCATCAATTATTTGCTTCACATTATACCCGCCTAGATATCTGAGAGGACATTCAAGTTACTAGGCGTGTGTTCCATGAGCACCTTTATGAATCAGCTGTTACCACTTCCCCATATGTTGTGTCCAGTGGGCTGGATATAGATTTGACTGGCTGGTTCACACTCCAGTGGGTGTGATTGCTTCTCTATGTAGCGTGCAAGCAGTATGGCACTTGATGAAAATATGGTCATTGTTGATGTCTTTTCAATTGTACTTTTACCAGTTTACCGGAAACTCTTTAAGGAATAAGCATTGTGCTGTGTGGCATATCTTGTTTAAGAGATGTCCATACAAATCTATGTTTGTTAAGACCCACACGGATCAGTGTTGGACAGGCCCACAGTAAAATATGTCTCATATTAAATAAAAATGATACTGTAGAAATTTAATGTGAAGATGTATACAAGTATCTGATTCAAGTGCTTCAAGAAAGTGTTCCATCATGCAATACGACAGACTGTAGAGTTTCACAAAGTAATGAAACTTCGTCCTCAGTTGAGAAACTATTGACTTTCTTAGGTAGATCCTCTACTGTAGATTATTTCTTAATTAGTTAACTTTGTGGAGATGATGTTTCAGATTTATAAATATTTAATACTATCAGTCAAAACTGTTATGTAATTTTGCCAGTTTTCTAAATTTATTATAACAGTCAGTTAAACGTCTTAAATGTAACACTTTTAACCTACAGGAAAAGAATATGGTTTTCAGAACATGTTGATACCTAAGAGTCATGTGCAACTTTGAATATGTAAACAGAAATTCAGAACCATGATATATTTCGTAGTGCATTTGAGCTTATCTGAATTTCCTAGAATCATTGTTAGCCATACCAAACAAAGAATATTTGTATTATACACACATATACTTCCATCTCAAATGCAACTTTATTTTTGTTTACTCCTCTTTGCTACATGTTTTGGCCATCATCAGGCAACTGTTTGTACACTGTGCTTTCCACGTATTTAAAATGAATTAATTCCAAATAAATATATGTCATTGTCACTCCAAACATTGTCATTCTTTCATAAAAGATATTTGTTTTGAGCACATTACTCGTTGCTGTGTTTTCTCATACGTTTTCCTCTTGTGGTGTCGGTGTTTGGAGTGTGAGTTAAGTGACATACACTGAACTAATCCAACACCATGGAAATATACAAACCAATGGAGCATATAATAACAGTGATAAAAACATTACAATGGCATCCACAAGAACTACACTAAACAACACACATAACACCAACACAGCAAGAGGAAACATACTGACGAGTAATGCGCTCAAGCAAATATCTATTATGAACAGATGACAGATGGAACAACAATGACATATTTTAATTTGGAACTAATTCGTTTTAAATGAAGTGTAACTGTTTTATCAAGATAAACAGTTACTTGATGATGGCCAGTTATTTCTGAAATGTGTAGCAAAGGGGAGTGAATTAAAAATAAAATTGCATTTGAGACAAGGTATATGTGCATGTGAGTGATAAGTTAGTGCAACAGGATGTTGAAATATAATATTAAGAATGCTTTTGTAATGAAGAACAAGTTGCAGGGTTGCTGACTTTATTCAACTACTGAATGCATCAGAATTTAGATTAGGATTGCTTCAATCACAAAGTCCATGTATGAAGTGAGGAAAACTCCACAAAGTAACCTGAACATGAAATTTACTCCTCTGTTACTCAAACCAAAAGCGTACCTACACCAGTTAGTAGTATAAATGTTACCAATCCCTTCATTGTTTGTGAAGAGAATGGGTGTTACAAAAGTACAGATCGCATGATCTCCTTCGACCTGCTCGTTTATAGTTGTCACTGTAGTCTCCAGTACAATAGACTTCCTACAGTGATACAAAGTGGTAGACTCCTACAAGGATAGAAGAAGTGCATGGAATGTGCTACCACCTCTGATTCTAGCATGGGAACCAAGTACGAGTGCCAACAGTAAGTAAAATAAGTTAAGATCAAAAAATATGGCAACCCAAATGATTTTAAGATACCTATTATAAAAGTACACAAAATATTTAATGAAGTATATACATTTGGTAACACTGCAAGATGGCAGGAATGCTGTGCTGAGTGTCTGAGCTTGAGTTGTTTACTGTCTACCAATTAAACATTTGCACCCAAAGGACAATAGGGTTTTTCATAAATGGTTATTGTTGGACTTTTATGTTGATATGTGCAGGTTTGCACAAATTAATTTACACAATCTTCTGAAAATTGCCTAGTTACCAGTGAATCAAAGGCATGTCATTAATCTCTGCTGTTGAAGAAGTAACCGCTTTCCATCCTCAGTAATGAGACAGTGAACTGAGTCCAACAGACACAAAGACAGTAAAGTAGGAAGGTGTCATCAGGTTAGGTTCAGCTACAGAAGCACATCAAAGGGCAGTGAAAGGGCCGCGCCATAGCTCAAGCGGTTAGTCGCTGGCTTCCACCGCGGCGGTCCGGGTCTGGTCAAATTGGATTTGTGGCAGACAAAGTGGCGCTGGGGCAGGTTTTTTCCGAGTATTTCGGTTTCCCCTGCCAATCTTCATTCCACCAATTGCTCCACAATCACCCTCACCTATCATCTGGGGCTGCTACAATAGGCCAGAAGTGGCCGCAGTACAAAGGACTTAGTCCCACTAACAAAAAAAGGGGGGGGGGCAGTGAAGCATATGATGCTTCTTATGTACCCTGTTCGGAACTTAAAATAATACATTCTTATTCACATGATGGCACCATATAGTCTGCAGGATGGTTACAGACATTTTTGAGAAACATATTGTCCCTGTCATGTCAGTTGCAGCTGTGTACCGTCCTACCAGACTGCATGGTGTACATGTACATACGCCAGAAAAAGGTTTTCACCGCTGTGATTACAGTGTATCTTACAGAATATGCTATGAGTATCGTTTCAATAGCTTGCTCCAAGTGGCATCAATGCCTTGGACATTCTTCTTTATAAATAACCATGTAAAGTAAAGTAAGTAAAGCTATCCCTGTACCAGGCCGTGAAGGCCCATAGGGTTGCGAGATGATGAGGGTCCTACACTATCTAGACAATTGGCTCAAAGATGGCGGTAAGGTTGTCAGCCTTACACACCGGCCGTGCTTTACTCCCAAAGAAAATCATTTAATTCATTCCTGGTACTCATTTCTGTTAGAGACTGAGTAAACCCCAGACTGGAAGGATTAGGTCAACTGAAAAAAATCCAATGACCTCATCGGGACTTGAACCTGCGACCTTCCGGCTTGTAGCATAGCCTCTCAACCACTACGCTACCACGTGCCCCCATAAATAACCATGTATTCATTTAAACAGGATTTATTAATAGCCAAACATCAAGGAGTGGAGCTCTGAGAATCTGTGTATTTCCCATGGTATGCAATTACACTTGCTCTGTTGTTCCTCATTCTCTTTGCTTCAGAGATCGTAAATACTGAAGAATTCCTGGAGCTGACTACGCAATTCATCTTATCACTGGATGAAACTGAATTGGATACCTGGTTACAGCACTGTTGTACAGTAGCTGTACAACAGTGCATATTGTAAAGTATAAAATAGCAAGGTTGGGAGAGTTCTCTGGTGATCACATCGTTCTCAGACTTGTCTTTCCCCAACTTCCATTTTTTGGGGCTATCTGAAAAATGTTGTCTATGCAGGCAACTCTTGATCAACCCTTCCCTCAAAATAGAAACTTGAAAGTTCCGTACTAGCGAAATTGTTGTAAATATTTAGTTGCAGATGGTAAATGTAACCTATAAAACAAGACATCTCTTGCAATCTGCGTGACTTATGTACCATACTGTATTTCCAGATTATGATATGTTGAACTTCATGGGCAGATGATTGCCCTTACAGCGGCAAGGCCCTTGCAATGTATAGCAGAATAATAACACCATATGCCTGGCATAAAAATAATACAGAAATATCTGTAACAGGTTTTTCCGTTGCCTGCCACCTGAAGTGTAAACAAACACCCAAACCCTAGTTAGCAAAATGATTTTTTTTAATATTGCAGGAAAGAAGATAATGTAAAAAGCTATCTTTCATCATCTTCCTTGTACCCTCATTTCTCTCCTCTTCCTTCATATTTATTTCTTCCTTTCCTGCACCTCCTCATCATTGTTTCTCTCTGCTCCTTTTATTCTTCACTTTATTCATAAGTGATAAGTTAATTTTTATAGCTAATATTATTAAAATGAGGAGCCTGGATAGTGTAGTTGGTATATTGACTGACTACTGGCTGAATGATCGAGGGGTTGGAGTTTGAGTCCCAGTAGTGTCAAGAATGCTCTCCATGTTGTCTAGACCGTCTCTGGGTCCACCCATCCTCGTGTCCAATGGGCACCAGGGGCTCTTTCCCCGGGGGTAAAGCGGCCCGGGCGTGAAGCTGACCACTTTCCTCCAGCAAATGCCAAGGTCAAGAAACTGTGGTTCTACACACATACATACATTCCCCCATACGCCTTCATGGCGTAATGCTTAATTAGTTAAGTACAGGGACAACTTTACCTTTTATTTTATTCTTAAATATTGTGGTCAAGACAGTTGTAGGTTCAGGGTAAAAATAATGAGAGGCCTGCTGGAGAAGCATCCTGTCAACACTTCATATCCGAACCACTGCTCATTTTCACTGTTTTGGTTACTTCATTATTGGAAGCACCATTTTCAGTAATGATCTACACAGAAATTCAGTTTTCTTAGGATATAGATGGTATTTTAACCTCTATGAGTGTCCTTCCATTCATTCATCAGTTATCTGCCAGACGACAGGTCCACAGTCTCTTCCAAAACAGTTCCTCCACTTACTGCAATCTTCTGCTTTCGGAAAGAGACTATCCAGGAAAAGTGATAATGTGGTAGTTTTTCCATTTGCTTTCCACATCGCAGTACAACAGCCGTTCAAACCACTCTGGTCACACCTGTTGCTATACGAACTTGAACCATCTCGAGCATCATTTGCTCTGTGCTTCAAGTCGCTGCTGATGACGCTGCTTCCTGCATCAGTTTTTGGTTTTTGATGTCTCTCTTCGTCTTATGTCTACCCTTTGACCTGTCCAGCAAGGGAGGCCCTGCCAGTAGCTACGCTACTGCTAGTATAGCTCTCAGGGTCCATTATCTGCTTAAATGTAGCCATTTCTTTGACAAAGTTCAAATATGCTGAATTGGATGATAACACTGAATACCCAGCTTGTTCCAAAATGCGACCCACTCTTTCCAACATACACTTTGGTTTGTGTGACATCATCAATTTATATAGTTCAAGTTGGAGCGATCCTCGTTTGGCTCATTAGTGCTGCAATAATGATTTTCTTGAATTTGAAATACGAGCCGGATTATAAATAATAATGTCACTTGTATTAGTGACTCGTAGATGGGGTTTGGATTGTGAATCGATTTATTGGATATTCACAAGTCGCAACTACAATTAATTATAACACTCTCAAAATTACTGTAACTATAGCACATGAAGTCTTCAACGTCTGTTAACACTTCACAGCTGAATCCTTATAACTCCTTTTCATGATGGCTTCGTGTCCTTTACTCGCGGCTTTTTAGCTACGACTGACTGCAAACGACTTTCCTTGTCCTCTGTAAACCTTCGGTATAGACCGCGCACAGAACACAGCCCATATTGTTGAAACGCCTTGTTTCCCACGTCATCGCTATCAAACCAGTTCATTGGCTCGCTGACTGCTGCCTAGCAACGAGATGTAACATTCGTCCACAGACAGCTTCCATTGCTGCGGGTTGGAACGTCTTTCCTGAGCCGTTGTCTAGCAGTGCGTTGATCAAATCCGTTAAATTGCTCCCTCCTTGAGGCTGCTCGCCCCGAGTAGCCTGTGGGTGTGTCACAGTTCCTTTTTTCCCGAGGTTCCTGCGCGTGACGTCTTGCGGCTGGGTAATTACTCTGCGATGATTACTCTCATTCCGCTACCGCTGCTCCCTCCTTAAGGTCAGCTCGTCCCTAGCGTCTCCCTGATAAGGTGCTACTAGATCCAGTACCACAGTTTCCGTATGTCTCCGTTACAATGACCACCACGGAGTTCAGGGAAAGCATCGTGGTTTATTGTCGGAATCGTACGAAACACGTAGTACACTCTGTGGACAAAAGGCAGACGTTTATAGCATTAAAATAGGCGGTACATGTAGCGACTGCTGTACTTCAGAGGGTTAAATTATCAGGCGAAAATGCCGCGCCATAGCTCAAGCGGTTAGTCGCTGGCTTCCCACCGCGGCGGCCCGGGTTCGATCCCGGGTCTGCGCAAGTGGGATTTGTGGTGGACAAAGTGGCGCTGGGGCAGGTTTTCTCCGAATACTTCGGTTTCCCCTGCCAATCTTTATTCCACCAAATTCTCCATCATCATAATCACCCGGGGCAGGCTACAATAGGCCAGTCAGTGGCCGCCGTGCCGAGTGGACCCAGTTGGACTCTACCCCCACTAAGCGAATTAAAAAAAGGTAAAGTCGTCCCTGTGCTTAACTAATTAAGCTCTACGTCATGAAGACGTATGGGGGATTGGTTGTGTAGATTCACGTTTTCATGATCTCGGCACTAGTTGGAGGTGAGTGTTCAGCTTCACGCCCCAGTCGCTTTAACCTCGGTGAAAGATCCCCAGTACCCATTGGATAGGAGCCTGGATGGGCCCAGAGCCGGCCTGGACAACGTGGAGTAAAGATAATTCTTGACCCTACCGGGACTCGAACTCCAGCCCGTAGCCAGTCGCTATACCGACTACTCTATCCCGGCTCACAGAAGACTACAGTAGAAGGTCAACAGAAGTGAAAACGGAGAGTTTCATGGGAGTAGGCCTAGGCCCAAATTGGGGGTGTAGCGCCACAGGAAAAAAAAAAACCTAAGGAGGACAGTAGTTGAATTACAACTAGACGGTCCCGGGATGGTATCTCGCCGGTGGAGCGTCTCTCATGGTATTAAACAATGCATTAGTTGTTCGTACCCTTAATTATATAATTTTGGCGAGGGACGTACGTTACAACTTCGATCGCTTTTACATGTGAGCTAGATCCAAGCACCGCTATCCTCTTAGAAGTCATAGCTACAAGTAAATGTGAAACCAAACATCTCAGTGACATGGCCGCCCAATGCATAACGGTAAACACTTCACTTGCAAGTGTCATTAGACCCTTTTCTTTTATTGCTAGTGGGGTGGGATTAAGTCCCTTCTACTGCGGCCACTTCTGGTCTATTGTACAAGCCCCAGATGATAGGTGAGGGTGATTGTGGAGCAATTGGTGGATTGAAGATCGGCAGGGGAAACCGAAGTACTCGGAAAAAACTTGCCCCATCGCCACTTTGTCCACCACAAATCCCACTTGCGCAGACCCGGGATCGAACCCCGGGCCGCCGCGGTGGGAAGCCAGCGACTAACCGCTTGAGCTATGGCGCGGCCGTGATTTCAAGTTAGTGAGGCTGTTATCAATCCGTTTCCAGGGAACGACTAGTGGGGAGTGTAATAGACTGAGTACACAGTGAACTGTAAAAATGTGGAAATATCGATAGCGCTATAATAATTACAATTACGAGTTGAATGGATAAGGTGTTAATAAATCAAATCCAACCCCCGTCTACAGTTACTAATACACGTGACAATAGCTTCCGTGTTCGACGGCTTCCGTTTGTTTCAAGTGGTTTTATACCGATGTTTGAACTGAACTCTCGGAGCCAAAAGAACTGTCCGCTATGCGAATTTTTCCGTCTAGTTCAGGTTCCGCTGTAGACAGTTTTCACTGTACATACATCTCATTCTGATGATCAGAAACTGAAGGGATGTGATAACCAAGAGCTGAGAGCATATTTTGGCCTAAGGGAGAGAACTGCATGATAAGGACGCGCTGCAGTGTGTATATGTTTTCTATCTGCTAAAATAAATTTGAAATTCCGTCAGAATATTCCTACAGGTTTTCTGTTTGGCCCTAGGATGGAGACGGACTACCTGAAGATGGCGCACAATCTGCAGAAGGAGCCCCACCTGCAGAAGGAGCCCCACCCGCAGAAGGAGCGCCTCCCGCAGAAGGAGCGCCTCCCGCAGAAGGAGCGCCTCCCGCAGAAGCAGCCTCACCTGCAGAAGGAGCCCCACCGGCAGAAGGAGCGACGCCTGCAGAAGGAACGGCGCCTTCTGAAGGAACACCACCAACAGAAGGGGTGACTCCCGCGGAAGGAGCGGCACCTGCAGAAGGGACGCCAGCAGCTGAAGGAGCGCCACCTGCAGAAGGCGCACCGCCTGCAGAAGGAGCACCACCCACAGAGGGGACGGTTCCCGAAGTACCACCTGCTACAGAAGGTGCTGCGCCACCTACTGATGTTGCCCCTGCTGAGGCTCCAGTTACAGAAGCCCCTCCTCCAATCGAAGGTAATTGTTTTGAAAACTGCTAGGCCTCCTTTGGGGTTTTATAACTTGCGTGGTTCATCTTTGCGTTACAGTTTACTCACAGAATTGGTGTGTGGCTCACGTTTCATAAAGTGTTCTTTTCGCGAGATATGAGGCTCTCACGGCGTTTCCTATGCCGTGTACTCCCTTCTGGAACGTTACGGCATGCAATGTGGTAGAGGTTTACGTGCGTTTCGAAGGGATATGCTACTGTCTTCTTCATGGCCGAAGCAAGCAGTAACTCATACTTTTGTTTTCTTGGGTTGCTCCTCGGCCCTGAAGATGTAGGTTGTACATTCCTCCGAAACATCGGCGAACTTCTACCAGGCTACGTGTCATAACATTGCAGAAGATGGGCCTGTTATATTTAATTTAGTTTCCGTCTGGGCGGCTAGATTTTCGTACGTTATATTGACCAAGCGTCCTGTAGCTGCTGAGGTCCAGTGCACGTCCGGAATCTCGCCTTGAGCATGGCTACAAAGGGGTTCCGGCGGCCATTTTGAATGTGGAACGTCGCTCTGGAATTTAATTTATGAAGTAATATAAGAATATAAATAAATGTCAGACCTAGCTTATTTGTCATCCGACTTCTGAGATGGAATCATCAGCCTTTTGCCACCGACCGTTTTTCAAATTAGCGTTGACATTCCTGCCCCAGCCTACCAATCAGGGTTAGGGTAAAGAAGGAAAATTAACTGAATTAATTATCTTCAGAATTACTGGGTTTTCGGACTTAGCCCATCATCCAATATTCTGAAAACTAGATAACACAGCGTTTCGGAAACTGGATGTGTTTCCGTTCTCAGGTGAGTGGGGAGACACCTACTCTGTTGGGTCCCTCAGAAAGAGCTAACTTCAAGCACTGAACTCTGTCTGAAGAACCCAGCAGAGTAGGTGTCTCCGCTCTCACCTGAGAACGGAAAGAGATTCAGTTCCCGAAACTTTGTGTTCTCTAGTTTGTCGACTACCGGACGTTGGACAAAGTCCAGAAGCCCAGTGATTCTGAGTCAGAACCTGTTAGAATCTAATTATCGTTTGGTTGGCGTCGCTGTTAACAATCGCTTGCAGAATTCAGATGTTTAATTGATGGGATGAAGTTACGGTAAACTTTTTGTCGCAGACTGTGAAATGTCAGGGTCTAGTCTGATGCGCTTGAATATTAACATGTATTATATCCCTTTAAAGACAGAATTTATTCCAAACTAAATATATAAATGCAGTCCGTACCTCACAGGAAACACATTAATACACTGCGTGGGCAGAATGCAGAATTCTAATATGTTAAAGCAGGTGGTGCATATAGTAACCATTAGGCTTCAAAAGGATATAACAGACTGTAGTACAGTCGTCGTAGTTTTATTTTTTTTTTCGTTAATTGAGAAAGAACGGATCCTGAGACAAACGTGTCGGTACAGTACGGAAGCTCGGTCAGAATTCTTTGGCTTATACTCGTACATGTCCTGCATCCACGCTCTGGGAGGTCAGAATTTCTTGATCTTCCATCGCGGAAGGATACATGACTTCCGTGTTCTAATTGGAACTGTTTATAACACAACTACATCACAAAAACGCGGGGAAGCTAGCGTATGAATTTACACGTGGTTCCCATAAAAGTTTGGTGCTGGGAACCTTTGCTGAATTCCAGAGACGACAAATGGTTGATCATTAACATCAAGACTTCAGAATTATTAGCGCTGTTCAAATGCAGAAAATTATACAAAACACGGTATTACGTGTACAAAACAATGGAGTACGGTGCTGTAATGTCACGTTTTCTATGGAGTCTGGCTATAAGCAGGTTCTGGATTAATTGCCGGATTTGTTGGACTCTTTGATACAGAGCGTAAGTACACTTTACGGTTCACTATTACGCGCACACTAGTGTCCACAGTCACGTACTCACTGTCGTTGCTTGGTAGAGGATTCCAACAGCGGACGTTCCCCTTCCTCTTGGTTTCCGAACCGTCCCCGGTCACAGCTAGTAGCTTTTCAGTTCTTACAACTGACTCAACTGAAGTCAAAGTTAAGTCTAATTTATGTTACGACAGACGGTCAGTCGGCCAGTCTGTCCTGATGTCAAGACCCATCTGAGTCCCAAGATCATACTTTTGCTACTGTCACACACTTTCGGGTTTGTTTATGTGGGCCCCCCTATCTGACGAGAGGACGGGTCTGTCGTTTGTAACTGCTGCTAGTCCTCGCCAGCAGTCATTCTGAGAACCGAGTCCCACGGGACTCGTGTTCATATTTTACTGTCTCATGTTCGAGAATCTCCCAACCTGGAGGTCCAGGTCCCCGTATTTATATCACCTAGGAAAAGGGTGGCCCAGTTACACCCCCAGGCACTGAGTTCTCTTTCCGTCGCCTCCTTTGACTCGCAGGGCTACACCCAGGAGAGTGAATATGTTTCTAGCTGTCAAGCAGGGGACACTGATATCAGAGTTAACCATGTCCAGAACTGATCTTTAATCTTCTTTGTTTCCAGCTGCAGCCTAGATGTCGACACTCCGTTGAGGAGCGGAAGAGGTGCAAGCAGGGCCACAGAAGCGATGTTATGAAAACGTGTGAAACCAAACTCACGTCTTAGCCTCTTCTTTGCGACAGTAACGCCATCTGAGGGGAGCGCAGGAAATTATTCTCTTCAGTCCGATGTTGCTTCATTGTTTCGCCGATTCTGACAAATATGTTGGGACTGATACTTTTTGGTGCTTCTAACTAAAAATAACAATTCGTTTCATCTTTTCATGTCGACACACAAAATCTAATTTTTTTTTATGGTGGCTGGCGAAGTCACATAGCAGCAACGGACCTTTTAAAGACAAACAATTAACTTCATCTGCAGTAACGTATAAAATATAAATGTTATGTGTTATTTACAATTGTGTGGTGAGAAGTGTGAATCTAGGTTAATATTATTACGTTGGCTAGATTGTTGTTTCAATTGAAGTACATGCAATTAAATCTGTTGGACAAGGTACAGTCACGGGGGAAAGAAAGAGCGCTTAATTAACTTTAAAGAGTATTGAAATGCCACCAGGTGGCAGGATGACACACACATCCCGATGCGTAAATCAGCGTTTGCTTGTATTCAACTAATCTCGTGAACAGCTGCTCTGTTTGCAGGGAGCCATCCTCAAAGGTCTACTATTCTCTAGAAGAAAAATCAACATAATTTCAATAACAATCACTAAAATTAAGACCAAATTAGTATACAAATTGGCAAAATAGAAGGTATACACACTGTTCTTCCGCCATTTTCTTGTACTGTCATGCCATTGCATAAGATGGCTACGGAATTCATGTGACTAGCACCACTTTTTTTTTGAGAATATCACATTACACACTTTACATTGTATTTCGGTTCAACTCTGTGGTTATGTCCGTGTATATACACTATTTTTGGGGCCCGTCTGTATTTGTTAAGTAAAGGAACGTAGTAAGAAGCGGGAATTATGTTTCTCCCCCTGCAAATAGTCGCTGTTGCATTACGTATTCAGTTTCAGAACCTTGCTGCTGTGTGTATAGAGATGTATCTAACTGGGAAGTAACCAAATATTATTTTGTTTTTGTCGCCTGCAGAATGTCTGGGGAAATATACTCTGATATGGATTAACATAATTGTAAGTGTATATATCGGTTAGTTGGAAATGCGAAGTATAAATCAGTATTTTTACACGTGTCGGAACCTCTGATTGCATGTCAGTACACGAGTTCCGTGATTCCATCTATATATAACAGACAGTCACGATTTAGAAATATAGAAAATATAGAAAAAGACTAGTCATTTCTTTGTTGTCACTAAGAGTAACGTCATGTAAATAACTCTGTTACTGCCCTCTTACAGTGTAAATTGGTGGCTTTTGTAATAAAGTCTGAAATATATTGTTATTTATTAACGTACTTCTCCGGTTCCCATGATCACATTTTTTTCAGAACGACAAATGAAGAACATACACACGTATCTACCAGTTATGGGTTAGATCTCAACAGTAACGTTTATAGTGTATATCACCGTTGACAATAGACATTCCTAACCTTGTTTAATGATCTCTCAGTGACATAATATTGAATCAGTGTTGCCAACATGAAGTGACTGCCGAGATTCAAGCCTGTGGTATACCGACGCGCTGCGTCATGTTGTGCTTTCAGTATTTGGTGTAATTAGAGTTAATCCTTAGCCACGTATTGAGTAGTGAATGTAGAGAGGAGTTCAGGGACAGGGGCGGAGAAAGGACGCCTACACGAAGTCAAAGGTAACAACTTCATGATGTTCACATAGAACAGTCATTATACTTAATTTGGTTACAAGATGCGGACTTCGACATGTCGTCTCGTTCTTATCTGACTGAAACAGGAAGAAAATTAAGGAGGGGGGCGAAGTGATAATGAAATTGTGGTTCTTACATAATCAGTGATTGAATTAGTTTATTTTTGGGTAAGGGAACAGTTTCGAAAAGACAGTCGGAATAGTGCAGTCGGCATAACGACTGGCCACGGGCTGAACAGCGGAGAAGTAGGAGTTCGAGTCCCGGTAAGGGCAAGATTGTCTCCTTTCCATTCCATTCTGAGGCTCACACAGCCTCCTATCCAATACTGGGGGCTCTTCCCCCAAGGGTAAAGCGACCGGGGCGTGAAGCTCACTAATCTCCTACTAGTGCCGAGGTGAAGAATACGTAAATCTATACATTCACTCCCCCCCTACGTCTTCATGGAGTGGTGCTTAATTAAGTTAAGCATAGGGACAACTGTGCCTTGAACGATTTTGAAAATTTTTATTTTTACTTTCTCTTTGCTTAGTGGGGGTGGAGTCCAGCTGGGTCCACTCGGCATGGCGGCCACTGATTGGCCTATTGTACCTGTCCCCGGGTGATTATGATGATGGAGAATTTGGTAGAATGAAGATTGGCAAGGGAAACCGAATTACTCGGAGAAAACCCGCCTCAGCGCCACTTTGTTCACCACAAATCCCACTTGACCAGACCCGGTTTCGAACCCGGGCCGCCCCGGAGGGCGCGGAGTTATGGCGCGGCCATTATTTTATTTTAGAAAACTCAGAACCACTTCTTAATGCAAAGATATTCAACTAGAATTATTAGATATGTGTAATATAATTAATACACGACAGAGTCACGTGGTCGGGCGCTGGCTTCCCGCCACGGAGCCTTGGTTTCAGTCCCGCAGATTTCATGTCAAATTCGTGATGGGCGAAGTGGAATTGGAGCGGAGTTTCTCCGAGTTCACTCGGTTTCCCCTGTTAATTATCATTCCACCATTGTTCCATACTCGTCTCATCTCCACCTGAATTTGGGGGTAGCCCTGTCCCACTGCTGTTCACCGAACATCCCACATTGAAAATCCCGGAACTGAACCGGTTCCTCCGCAACAGAAAGCTGGCGACCGAGAGACTAAGCTATTGCGCGAGTTTTCGGTCTCGTAAATTTTAATTTATTATTAAGCTCATTTGTCGTATGGAGTCTTGTTTTATTTGTAGTTTACTTAGTGACACTGTCTGGAGCTCAAACTTTGCAGCGTCGAATGGCGGATAACGAACTAGCTCCATGGAGCTGAGTCCTTCTTGAGAAGCCGCAACTTGCTCAGTTACTTAAGAAATTCCTAGAACTTTATGAAACCTGAAGGTTCATTCCCGTGTTCACAAGAGCCCACCACTAGTCTTTCTCCTGAACCAGATGAGTCTACTCCACGCCCTATAAATATTTTTTACAAATTTTTACATTATCCTCCCATATACTTCTAAGTCTTGCTAGTGGTCTCTTTCCTTCAGGCTTTCCTAATGAGCCTGCCATGTAGAAGTTCCCTACATACCACGTGCCAAGTCTCATGTATACGCCATTGCTTAGGTCGTTCCAAAGGATCCGTCAGAGATCCTGTGTAAGATTTCCTAACAGGCTGGGCCTTATTTGTTCAATGTCTAAGCTTGAATACCACCCCATGTCGGCAGTCCGCGACTGTTTATTCACTATATTCGCAGCTTAATCCCTTGAAGTATTTCAAGGAGTTAAGCAATATCCATTGACACACGCTCGTATTTAGACCAAATTAGGGAATGGTAGAAAACATGAAAGATAATTTTGTAATAAATAATGTCATATCAAATAACAGTACTTCACGTAGGCCATGTTATAATATCTGATACAGAAGATAGACTTCATATGGCATTTCATTTATTGCAAGAAGTAGCGAAAACATACACACCCAATGATGGTGAGTTAGACCGAAACGTGTAATGTGGTTGCTGTAATGAACTGACTGACTTAGGATTCTACTTGATTCAATCGTTTCATTACACACTAATCAACCCACGTTTGTTAAGTGAAGGTACAAAAACCATAGAATTTATATACACAACAGGACGCGTAAAGTGGCCATTGAGGAGAAATGATAAAATTTGTTAATAAGATTAAAAGTATAACCAGTATGGACCTGGTATATATCCCAATTTTAGGTCCGGAGGTAGGGGCTATCTCTATCTACTGAACCCAACTGAGTAGGTTTTACCTGAGGCCGGGGAAAGAATCCAGTCTCCGAAACGATGCGTTTTAAAGAAGAATCAGAACGTTTTTTTTTTTTAAATAGACAAGACGATGGATAATGTCCAAAATCATAATACTTCTACTAAAATTTGTTCACGAATCTGCAGAAACATACAATAATGAACTCAGAGAGCACTGAATGTGAACTACTTCTACTGTTTCAGCAGTAGATACATCGAGGATGGAACCGAATGGTAGAAGTAGTTTGTAATTTCATGAGTAGGGGCGGTAGGAGTTTTGCAAGTGTGGTGCCACCTGTACGGCGATTATAGAACTGTGTAGTGGAGTATCGTGTCGCTGTGGTTTGAGGTTGTGGAATTCTGGTGCGTACTTGAACAGTGGGCAGAAAAGCAAGGTGTTGTGTGAAGCAGAAGCGTTTCAGGTACTGCTCTACAAGTGCAGGAATGTTTGTGACGTCGTTGTACTGACAGCTGGAATTGTTGTCATGTGAGTAAATCAGAAATATACCATTATTTGTATTTTATATGTTTATAAACAGTCAGTTTCAAATGCTTACATTTATTTGTACTGGAGAACAAAGCGTTTTTCCATCCAGGCTTGAAAAATGTGTTTGCCTTAGGTAATAATGGTTGGCTTATAGACAGTAAAATATTTTCAATTCAGGCAACAAATTTTGACATATTATAGTGGCATCTAGCCATTCGCGTCCACAGTACTATGAAGTTCTTAACCAAATGCACTCATTAGAGGCTTTTGCGTATTTATGTTCGTAGATTATTTACTGATATTGTTACTGAGATTGTATATCAGAATGGTTGGGGGATAATGGTGAACTGGAAAGGATATGAAAGGAACCTGTTGCGTAACTTCAGGCATTTGCTTGGAGTGACCGAGAGAAGCCACGACACACCTCACTAAAGACAGTCGATGCCCCATTCGACATTTGAATCGGGCTGTTCCGGAAAGTAGTTCCAAATCGTGAGTCAAGTGGCTGGTCCCTTCATGCCAGCATTATGCATGGGGTGATCGTTTTGGCCTGCGGTGGTTTTCGTTTTGTGTGTCGACGAGAATAATGTTTAAATATAAAAATAGCTGTATAATGATAGCAGTGAGTCTGCCATAGCGAGGGTTTTCCGTATACGTATTGTGTTCAAGTGTTGACATTACTTGAGTGGCTCGAATGTTAATAATGATGACGTTTTGTAAGATGTCTAACTCCCTCCATCAGAGTCGTCCTTGAGAAACTGGCAGTAGATCACCCACTAAAGAAATTCCGTGTCTTTCGTGGAACCCCAAGGTTCTTTTCAGTGGGCACAAGAGCCCGCCACATGCCCCACGTTTTCTTAAAAAAAATAGGTACTTGCCCGTCAGATACAGAGTGTGGTCTCTGTGAAGTACCAACTTCATTTGTATATATATAATGTAGATGATGTTCATACTTATACACCTCTTGGAGGCGGGTTCGAATACCTCCACCGTAGCCCTGCGAGTCGTAGGAGGCGACGAAAAGAGAACCCAGTTCCTGGGGGGTGTAACTGGACCACCCAGTGCCTGCGGAACATAAATGCGGGTGCCAGACCCTCATGTTTGGGGAATCTCGAATCTGAGACAGTAAAATGTTGTCACGAGTTGCGCGGAACTCGGACTCGAGAATGACTGCGCTGGCGAGGACCAACAGAAAGTGTAAACGACAGACCCGTCATCCCGTCAGAGATGTCGCCCCACATCAACAAACCCTCAGTTGTGTGATAGTAATAAAAATCGGGTCTTGGCCGCCAGATGGGTGTTCGACGCCAGGACAGAGAGGTCGACCGGCCTTCGTATAACTTTGACCTTGACTTTGATTTTCATAAGGGTTTAGTGAAGAGTTTGTTTGTTTCTTTCTTTGTTAATTTAACGTCTCTTATCGACTCTCTTGTATCGTAGTGTCAGTAAACAGAAACACGACATAATTACGAAGGATGTGGCCTGGCCAAGTTTCCAACTGGAGACAATCAGTCGGGAGGGCAGAGCTCATTACATCTCAGACAAGTCGAACTGCACAGGCAGTGGGAGATCTTGAGGAACGGCGTTGTGTCACTCAGCTGAAAGTCTTCGGTTCATTGACCGTAACTTCATAGCAAGAAGGTAACGTGGGTTGTCAGGTGCGGTCAGGTACTACTGGTCTGTACCACGTTCCGTCCGTCTTAATACGGTATGTTCGTGTTTATTACGGAGCCCAGATTCAGTTTAACGTTTGAAGCCTCATGTACGGCTGAAAAATAATATAAAGGTTACATTTCCGCTAAAGGAAGAAGACTACGTTTCCATTATAAATACCAATCGGATAAAACATTTTCGGGAAATATTCATTATGCATTGTAAAAATCGTACGAAACACACAAAGACACTGAGAACAGTGCGAAGGTTTTAATGTCCAAGCAGTGGTAGATATAGATACCACTGGGCAGTAAAGGGTTAATTCGATTTAGTGTAATTATTCTGATTAAGAACGTAAAGATTAAAATGTGGAAGCAGGAGTAGGATAAAAAAGGTAAAGCTGTCCCTGTAGCAGGCCGTGGAGGCCCATAGGCTTGTGAGACGTCGAGGCTCCAACATTTTCTAGAAAATCGACACAGATGGTGATGAGGTTGCCAGCCTTACGCACCGACCGCCCTTTACCCCAACGAAGCTTCCTGGTACTCATTTCTGTTAGAAGGTGAGTCGACCCCAAGGTCATAGTGCAGCTGGAAGGATTAGGTAAATTGAAAGAAATCTGATGACCTCATCCGAAATCGAACTCGCGACCTTCCGGCTTGTAGCACAGTGCCTCGACCAACTACGCTACCGTGGGGCCCTCCTTTACTTAAACTATTTTAAATTATTTGATTTATTTAAATTTAAGTTAATTATAAATCACTGAAACATTAAAAATTAGTAATGTGCTTGAAGGTCGCGGGTTCGATTCTTGATTAGGTAATTACATTTTCAATTGACCTAATCCTTCCAGCCGCACCATGACCCTGGGGTCGACTCAGCCTCTAACAGAAATGAGTACCAGGAATCTTCCTGGGGCTAAAAGGCAGCCAGCACGTAAGGCAGACAGCCTCACCGCCACCTGTGAGCCGATTGTCAAGAAAATGTGGGAGCCTCGCCGTCTCACAACCTTACAGGCCTCCGCGCCCATTTAGGGAGCAGTTTTGGCTTTAGTGTGCTCAAGTCCAGTAGTGGT